AGGATAAAAAGAGACTAATATGGATATGTATTTTCTAATAAATACTTCAAAATTGTAATTCACTAGATTAGTTTATTACTGAATTAAAATAAGACTAGAGCAGGGATCTGCAAAAAGATGTTGGATATTAGAGAGTAATCACTAAACCTGCTTATTGAAAATGAATATCTTATATATCTTGCAACTTCTGGCAATTATCGTAATACCAGTCAGATGATTGTCACACCACGATACCTTTTCTAAAAATCACAATCTCAATGTCTACTGGATTAGTATATGAAATGACTTTTTATGAGAAATAATACTTTTTACAAGTTATGGCTCCAAATACTATATTAATTCTATTCAATCACCTTCATATGGGATTGAACTGATATCTTGTAATTTGACCTGTGGAATATTAATCACTATACTATAGACCCACAGGTCTATAACTAGTGTAAGATTTCTCATAATCTTCTGACTAGTTACTAGTTCTCACTCACAAATTTTATAACAAAAATCAAAATCAGTTTATTTTTATTAAAAGATCTATAATATATAAAATACCAATCATATTCTGTATTACTTAATTATATTAAAACAACAAAATAATTTATTGAATTGGAAGAATACATAATCAGTACCCTACACAGGTTCTAGTAATTACAATATATAATAACTTATCAAAATAATATAATAAATATTTAAAAATAATTTCAGTTATCTCATTATCAATACTATAATACAATTATATCATATAACAATAATATATAACTAAAATTATATAACCAAATTTATCAAGTTACATGCAACTTGTACAATGCTAACATTGACTAAAACAACAAACTGTATTCAAAAACTATATCTAATAAAATTTATAATATTTTATTATTTATTATTTTATTTTTCATTTAATTTTTTTTACAATATTAACATAACAATCTTATCCCAATTATTTTTTATTTTTTATTTTTTATAACAGATGGTTTCTCAGGTTTTTTTTTGCTTAAGGATTTTTTCAAATAATATATCTGTTCAATAGATGATAAGCTAATATTTATAACAATATAATTTATATCTTAATATTAATTTTCTCATAATAGTGCAATCATATTGTAACAAATTAAGTTAGATGTTTAAAATTATAGCAGATTTTCTACCTTCTAATAAATTCCATCTAGCATATAGATTTACTAACCAGTATTGGATTTATAAGTGAAACGGTTATGATTAAACTTACAGTTAATAGTAATATTAACATATATAAAATTATTTAGATGTATAGTTTGAATTAATACTTCAAATAAATAAATGAATATAAATGATAAAATTGAGACATAAGAGGTTTTAAGAGCATATATAATGACATGTAAACAGAAAGAGAGAATTATTCAGAAAATAAATATAGTTTCTAATTAAATATAACAAATCACTTATATTCAGTACATTTACGTACTTACCTCGCGCCAGCCTCTTTCTACGTTACACGATCGGCGATCGCGACGTAGCGACAAAACCGCCCCAACAATATACTGTATATACTATATATTGACGGGAAAGCAATTTAATGGCGGATAAAACAAAAACATATTAGCCTTATGGCAGTTGCTATTACGTACCATAATACATATTTGGTATATAAAGAATAAAACAGATAAGTTGTACTGTACCAAGAACAATTTTTTTTTTATGGTTTTGTAAACGAAAAGCAAATTGTGAAACGTAACGATTCCAAAAAAGAACCTTATTTACGCGGTAAGAAGGTTTTCCCGGCTTCATTACATGATATTTAAATAGGTGAATATTATTTTTTTAAAAAATTTAGTAATCAATCGATGGAAGGTAATATTATTTTAAGCAGTTTTCACTATTTTTTCTTTTTAAAAATCTGTAAAATTTATTTTTAGATAAAACTGTCCTGGCAACAAATATCCGAGCCAGTTCCCTGGTATCGAGAACGAACAGGATGTCGGTCGTAGGCCACAGAGGCGCTAGCGATTCATATCCCGAAAACACTGTTTTATCAATCGAACGAGCAATAGCCGATGGTGCCGACGCTGTTGAGTTCGGTAAATCATTTTCTCTAATATTTAATTGGGATTCGGAAAGAAATATAGAAAAAACGAACTTATACATATATATGTAAAATAGATATCCAGTTAACGCTGGATAAAGAAATAATTGTTCTTCATGATTCGTTGTTAGATCGCACGACAACTGGTGAAGGTAAAGTGTCGACCAAGAACTTTCATGGATATATTGAATTCTTGACTACCAAGAAACCTCCTCACTGCAAAATCCCTAGATTTGAAGATGTTTTGGATGTCTTCTTAAGACCAGAAAATTCCAAAGTTTGGGCGGTAATAGATGTCAAGCTAGATAACTCGCCTGAAGTCTTAGAAATACTCTCAACCATTTTTAAAAAACATGGTGATTTGAGTCATTTCAGGAACCAGTTTTATATAGGAATTTGGCATCCAAAATTTGTGCCAATATCTAGGAATTATCTGCCTGAACTTCCAATTATTCATATCGGATTTTCGCTGAATGTAGCCCGAAAATACTTTCCGGATGTTGATGGATATAACATGCTACATATCATACTCTGCGACAAAGATGGCAAAAAGTTTATTGAAAATGCCCATGAACTGTCTAAACCAGTTTTCACTTGGACCGTAAATAAAGAACATCATGCAACTAATTGTTATAATTACGGTGTCGATGCCATAATGACCGATAGGCCGAAATATTTTGTAAGTTATTTGAGAGAGGGCGGCAAGAGTAGTAGTAATTGGTTTTCTGCTTGGATTAAACGTTTTTTTTACTCTGCCCTGAAATTTTTTGTCGATTATATGTGTGTTCGAAAATTAAAGCAATATGGCGATTTGGATGTACCTAAAAGAATAAGTGTGAACAACACGCAATAATTTATTTTTAGCATTTCTGAATATGGTTAACATATTGATTGTATTGATTGATTGTGAAGATCTACTATAGTGACGGTTTTTGGATTTTTTATTATAGTTTATTTAATTTAAATAAAGTTTAAAAAGGTAATTTTGTGATAATAATAATATTATTATTAGAGTTTTTAAAATAAAAAATTTATTGAATATTTCTTATAATGTGTAAATTAATTTTAAAAAACTTTTAAAAGTTTTAAAAAAGTTGATTTTATTATAAAATTTTATAAAACTAATTTGATTTTACTTTATAAAAATTTTTTTTTTACTTTTAACAAATTTATACATTAAAATATTTTATAATTTATAATATATAATAAAAATTTGAATATGGTTTTAAAATATATTTTTAACCTTGAATTAAAATTAATTATATTATTATAATATATTTAAAAATTTTTCTTCAATAGTTTTATTTTTTAGATTTTTAAATATATATGTTTAAATTTTTATTTTATTTCACCAATTAATTATTAATTTATAAATAAATTTAAGAAATAAAATTAATTTAAAAAATTTTGCAACAAATTATATATTTTAAAATTATTTTTTAAACTGTTTTATTAATTAATTTATTAATAATTGATATTTATATATCTAATTTATTAAATTTAAATATAATATTATAAAAAAATATTTTATTTTAATTTAAAAAAATTTAAAAAAACTTATTTATTTATTTTAAAAATAATTAAAAAAAATTTTTTTTAAATGAATTATTAAGTAAATAAAACAATAATTTCTTAAAATAATTTAAAAACAAATATTTTTTATTGAATAAATAAAAAATTTTTTAATTATTTTTAAATATATTAATTGTATCATAAACAAAAATATTAGATTTGATTTGTACAAAGAACTTTAATATCTTATATTTTTATATATGTATACTTTATTATTTTATTAAATAAAATAGATGTATTTATTATTATATTTTTATTTTTAAATATATATCTATTTTTTAAATATAAAAAATTTTAATATAATATAATTTTAATATTGTTTTTTAACTATCTAAAACTTTTTTGAAAAATATTTTAAAAATTCAAAATTACTTAATTAGAATAAAATAAAATAGTGATTAATTAATTATTTGTTAATTGTGCATTATATAAATAACAAATCATTTAAAATTATAAAATATAATGATTTTTTTAATAATAATAATTTTATAATGAATACATGCATGCATACATGCATTACTTTCAATTAATAAATTAATATTAAATAAAACATAAATTTTATTTTAAAAAATGAAAAAATCCAAATTAATTAAGTATATATTTTTTAATATTTTTAAATAATTTCAATAAACAATCGCTAATTGTCCGAAGGACACTCTAATGCGGGAAACTATACGATCGTGTATTTACTGTGTAAGCTGATTTAAACAGTAGAGGATGAAGAGGGCACCAAGGAATGTATGAATAGGGGATGTTTTTGCATGTGTTAGTGATAGTCCTTCGGACTTTAAATGGTTCCCATTTACCTAGTACAATAACTGTACATTTAATTGTCCGAAACACATAGGTGATGGTGGCATATCAATTTAACGGAGTTTTTACAGTTAATGCAATTAATGTCCTTCGGACAATTAGAAGTTGGATTTTTGGATCCCGATTACATAATGTATTTTCGCACCACGACAAAAATCTTTGGTATGATAGCGATCGATAGTTAGGGTAGCGTGATGAGTGCGGGAAATTATACAATCGTGTATTTTACTGTATAAGCTGATTTAAACGATAGAGGATGAAGAGTGCATCAAGGAATGTATGAATAGGGGATGTTGTTGCATGTGTTAGCGATAGTCCTTTGAACTTTAAATGGTTCCCATTTACCTAGTTATATTACAAATTATTTTTATAAATGTAGTGTTTATTATTGTGCGAAGGACAGCAATAGTGATCCGGATGTGTGTGTGTGTGTGTGTGTGTACCTTCCGATCACGTGACACATAAGTGATAGTGGCATATCAATTTAACGGAGTTTTTACAGTTAATGCAATTAATGTCCTTCGGACAATTAGAAGTTGAATTTTTGTTACATAATGTATTTTCGCACCACGACAAAAATCTTTGGTAGCGTGATGAGTGCGGGAAACTATACAATCGTGTATTTACTGTATAAGCTGATTTAAATGATAGAGTGCACCAAGGAATGTATGAATAGGGGATATTGTTGCATGTGTTAGCAATAGTCCTTCGGACTTTAAAGGGTTCCCATTTAATTTTTTTATAAAATTTTTTATAAAATTTTTTATATAATAACATAAATATAAAATATTATTTTTATTAAATTTATTTACAAATAAAAATAATTATATTATTTTAATGTTAAAAAATTTTTTTATACAAATTAAAAATAGATAATACGTTTATTTAATGTGTTAAATTTAATAAATAATGCTTATCGACACGAATGTGTATTATATTTATTGTCATACTGTTTAAGCAAAAGTCTTTTTTGTCTTGCAACACAATACTGTGCATTAGTAATCCAATATTATTCTTAGTAATACCGTCGTTTGTTACATTCTAAAGTTTTTTATAAACCATATTTACAACATTAATATTACTACTATCGTATATTGATTTTTTTAAAAAAATATACGTCTCAATAATCAATTTTCTCTTTGTTTGACGACAATTTTGTTATAACGGAATTTCGGATTGTTCGAATAACATCAAATCGCTAAATATAGTTTTGCAGATGTATAAAATTTTTCACATAACATGATTTGTTACTACCTTAACTTCACTTCGGAAAATTATATGTTAATGGCGGATCCTAAGTTCTTATTGATTAGATTTCTTTGACGAATGGTCGATATTGAATTGTAATATTAGGACTTGACTGGTGATTTGTTATTTTATACATTACAATATGCATTTACTATGTATGGTTTTAGGTCAAACAATGCAAATCGTAAATATATGTGTATTACTTCACAACCAAATGCATGATAGTCTTCGCAAAAATTTCATTAGCAAGGACAACTTAGTCTCAAAGAAATTAATAAATTAATAAACTTGTCTCCATTTATCGCAATGAAAAAACCGACTTCTTACTGTCGGACGTATGTATGATACACTTAATAAATTGTATCAGCAAGTGAATAATTTATTTTCCATAAATGTTTCTTTCGTAGATTATTTCGTTTCACTTATCCACGTGATGCTATGCAGATTGTTGAAATCTACACGTAGTATGATTGTTCCAACTCTTCCTAGCTAACAAAGTCCATGTCACATATTTGTATTGTAGGTAATACAGGCCCGTGCATATTCTGTAAATTCTGTTAATGGTGGGATTGAGCATATATTCATACAAATCAGCATAGGCAGTATAAGCAGTGAACTGGATGCCAACGTTTCACGATAATCCAATAAGTTGGTGGATTTCCTTTTTGGATATTTTTTTAATTAAAAGTTTTATTTTGTCCTTATTTAATATATGTGTGTAAAAAATACGTTGATACAATTTTATAGCTACCCTCTTCTCCCCAAATTCGACTTCCCTAGTTCGCAAGGGTTATCATTCCTTTTACCTCTCCGTTCGCCTTCCTTCCGTTAGAGAGAGAGATTAATTGGGTCCACCCAATCGTTCTTTCCTTCTTGTTCAGTCTAAAATTCTTTATTGACTCAAGGAATCTCTCTGGCATTGACTCCTTGACCCTTATATCATTATTTTATAATATACGTCTTCAGTTACGTTTTCTGTTTTAAAATATTAGCAAATGGAATATCCACAAGAAGCTTATATGGACTATTATCAACAGGGAAATAATCCATCTGGTGTTCCTGCACAAACCTACTCTCCTCAACAAACCTATTCCCCTCAACAAAATTACCCTCCTCAACAGAGGTCTCCCACGCATACCCCAAGAGGATTCCAACAACCACTTTCTCCAGGTTATCAAACTCCGCAACAAAGAGCTCCCGTTTATCAACAGCCCGAACAATATAATCATCACCCTACACACGTTCGCGCCCCCTCGAATAATAGCAGTTTTCGAAGACAGAATGCTACTTATCCTGATCATGAGGTTGTGAGTTTTGACCAGGAAAAGGCAAACAGAAGAAAGGTGCGTATTTAAATTTGAAAAGTATTCAATAAGTTTATCACGTGATGCTCTTAAGCGTAATGGTGTATTTCGAATTCTATTAGCATATATCTAATTAATGTACTTGATAATATAGTCAACCCGTCATGTTGAACTTACCCGTGGAAATTTGGTATTGGACTGCCCAGTGCCAGATAAAATACTCCGTAACGTCAAATATACCAACGATGAAGAATTCACCACCATGAGGTATACTGCTGTGACCTGCGATCCGGACGACTTCATCAAAAACAACTATCTTTTACGGCCTTACATTAGTAGTCGAAAAACCGAGCTCATGATTGTCATGACAATGTATAACGAAGATGATAAACTCTTTATTAAGACGATGTCATCCGCTATTAAAAATATTGCTTACCTTTGCACTCGAGGAAAGTCAAAGACTTGGGGTCCCGATGGTTGGCAGAAGGTCGTTGTTGTGATTGTATCCGATGGTCGCAATAAAGTTAACCAACGCGTTTTAAAAGTTCTTGGAGCAATGGGAGTTTACCAAGATGATATCATGCAGGACAATGTCGCCGGAAAATCCGTCACTGCACATCTTTTTGAGTACACTTCTCAACTGATGGTAGATAGTGATTTCAACATTCGCGGCCAAGACAAGAAGGTCCCACCTGTTCAAGTCTTGTTCTGCTTAAAAGAAAAGAATGCCAAGAAACTGAATTCTCATCGTTGGTTCTTTAACGCTTTCGCCGCACAATTAAATCCAAACGTCTGCGTCTTGCTTGATGTTGGAACCAAACCATCATCCACCTCGGTTTATCATTTGTGGAAAGGTAAATCTAACATATTCATCATCATAATCGTATATATATTTTTCGCGTTAACGATAATCAAAATATGCGTTGTCTATTTTAGCCTTTGATCGTGACCCTTCGATTGGAGGCGCTTGCGGTGAGATTAAAGCTGAGCTTGGAGCAGGGTGGTCGAAACTTCTTAATCCTCTGGTGGCTTCGCAAAACTTTGAGTATAAAATGTCGAATATTTTGGACAAACCTTTGGAATCTGTCTTTGGTTATATTTCCGTGTTGCCTGGCGCTTTTTCTGCATATCGGTACAAGGCATTGCAGAATACTTCCCCCGGTAAAGGACCGTTAGCGTCATACTTTAAGGGTGAAGCTATGCACGGTTCTGGTGCTGCTGAAGCTGGTATCTTTGAATCAAACATGTATTTGGCCGAAGACCGTATTCTATGCTTCGAACTTGTTGTCAAGAAGAATCAGGCATGGAAGTTGAAATATGTCAAGGCACGTCTTTTTTTTTAACATATATGCATTTATTTATTTATTTTACTAACAAGTCTAAACTATTGCTCGTTTACAGGACGCAAAAGCTGAAACCGACGTACCAGATACTGTGCCAGAATTCATTTCTCAACGCCGTCGTTGGTTGAATGGATCATTCTTTGCTGCCTTTTATTCCATTGCGCACTTTCTACGCATCTGGACTTCAGGACATTCATTGTTCCGCAAATTCTTGTTACAGATTGAATTCATTTATAATGCTATCCAGTTAGTATTCAACTGGTTCGCTTTGGTAAGAATTATTTTTGGAATTCCTGGTTTCGTCATTTATATCAATTATGTTGTTAATATTTTTCATTTCTCCCCAGGGTAACTTCTTCCTGGCCTTCTTCTTCTTAACTCAATCTACAACATCCAATCCCGCCACTGATCCTTTCAGAGGATATGGTTCTGAACTATTCGACTTCTTCAGATCGCTATACATGATGGTCATTGTCACAATCTTTATTTGCTCAATGGGTAATCGACCTCAAGGATCTAAAACTACATACACGCTTTGTATCGTACTATTTGCGATTATCATGGCCACCATGCTCTATTGTGCGGGTTACACTGTATACCTCGCTCTTCACGGCTCGGTGAACTTTAAAAGCTTTACCAGTATCAAGGAAGCTCTTAAAAAAGCCGCCTTCCGGGACATTGTAATATCACTCACATCGACTTATGGCTTGTATATTTTCACCTCTTTTATTCATAGGGAACCATGGCATATGGTTACGTGTCTGGTTCAATACGTCTTGTTTGTACCATTCTACGTGAACATCCTGATGGTCTATGCATTTTGTAACACTCACGATGTGTCGTGGGGTACCAAAGGTGATAACGGTAACTCTGGTGAATTAGGAGGAGCGACATCGGTAACGAAAAATGTGATGAAAGTTGATGTGCCTACCGAACGCGAAGATATTAATGCTGCTTATGATGAGATATTGAAAAGCTTAAAGGTTAAAGAACATAAAGTTGTTCAGCATCGAGACGCTAACACAAAGAAAGAAGATTACTACAAAAATTTCCGCACGAATTTGGTGCTCGCTTGGATGTTTTCTAATGCTTTCCTCGTCGTGTTTTTCACATCTCAAACCTGGATGAACTTCGTAGCAAGATATACGCGCGGAAATACTGCAATTAATCCTTATTTGACATTCGGTAAGAATAAAATATTCTAATCATGTGTTTTATTTATATTGTCTTTCGCGTAATCTGTTAATCTTTTTTCTAATATCATTTGTAGTGTTCTGGTCAGTGACTGCTCTGTCAGGGTTTAGGGCGTTTGGCAGTGTTTGGTATCTAATCCTCAAGTTCTTGTTTGGATAAATAATTTCAATAATATTGGTAATAACAATATATGAAAAAAAAAAATTATGCTATTTTCCCTTGTGTATACATACAATCTACCTGTCGATCTGGAGGGAAGCGCATTCACAAAAGCAAAGGCAACCACACACACTAGAAATTTTCTTCAACAAAATATCTATTCAATCTCTCTTGTACTTTAATTTTGTATCTATTTAATAAAATAAATTAATCTATTTTCTCTTATTAACAGTTCTTAATAAAATTATTTGAGAATAAATAATTAAGATACAACGTTTGAAGTAGGGGTTACCGTATGTCGTTTTTCAGAATGCATTTTTGAAATTTGAGAAAACCTATTTCTTTTTTTTTTTTTAGCTACATCTTGGAAAACATCAATTTCTAAAATAAAAAATTAAACAACGGAAAACGTTCAAGTTTAAATAGAGAAGAAACAAATATTTTACAATTAAAATTAATGTTCTAAAAGTGATCTATAAAACTATTCTATTCGTACTCGTTGACATAAAGCATATAGCATCCTATCAATACATTGACAGTCTACTTGACAATCTGCACAGTTAATTCACCACCACCACCGTTATTATTTATGAAGAATGGACTTAATCTTGTATAAACATTTGCCAGGACAGCCTGTTCATTAGCGTCTTGATTAACATGTACGCATAGTGTACCAACTAATTGTCCATACGAGTTTTGCCAAAAATGTGTAGCTGTTAACGCTAAAATTGTTGGATCAAGTTGGATCTAAGAAAATTTGATTATGTTATTCCATCGGCTATGATTTTCGGGCAGAGCAAAATATTAAGTCGTTTATATTATTATGAAAAATACCTCACGCAAATATTCATCTAAGCTCCTGACCGCAGCATCTGGAGTTGTTTGCAATAGAATTTTTCCCAATGCAACTGCAACTGGACCAGCGAGATAAAACATCGAAATTGCCTCCAAAATGGACAATGCATTGTCTAGCCAACCCAAATGTTGACTTCGCGCCAAAATCAAAGATAATGAGGATAAATTATCATACGCTAATGGAAAAAAAAGAAAATCTCAAGCTCAAATCCTCACTTTTGTTCCATGAGGATGCTTATCACTATCACTCCAGCACCACAAAATAGTGTTGTTATGGTAAAAGGATTTGTTATCGTCATAAAAAATTCATCATTTAACTGCCAGGCATCAGGTTGATGCATCCCACCGTTCGACGAAATTGATTTTAGTACTGTGAAGCAGAAAAGTTGCTAAATTAAATTTTTCAATGTATTAGGTAAACCTTAGAGTGAGAAATCAACAAACATGCACAAAATTCTATATGGTTCCGGTAACAAATGGCGGATATTAATGTTGCTCCAATAGCAAGTAAAATCCAAATGAGTGGTAATGGTGCACTGTCATGATTCGTTTTGTAGTTGAAAGGAGCATATCGTTAAATTCTCATCTAACATTAATAATATGATACATATGCTGCTACCTATTCCCATGAAAATGATCTTCGCTTGTTTCTAGAATCAAATGTTCCAGACCTTCCTTCAACATATATAATCCAACGAATAAAAGATATATGGTACTCGTAAAACCAAACAATATCTCATAACGTTGAACGCTAAAGAAAAAAAAATTAACAGCCTGAAATATAATAATGGAAACATGTTTATAAATGGTCACAAATATCCTACCCGAAAGGATTCCGTATTGAGGACACTTTCAATGTCCTATATGTTGCCAGAACAGACGAAATAAATGTCGTGAATACACCCAAGGCATCAAATATTACAAGATACGAAAATCCTGTAACAGCTAACTCGAGATGTGATCGAATTAGAACGATCCCTGAAACCTGTAGCTCTAATTTCCATTAATAACAATTACCTAATCCACATCCCCATTGACCTTTCAACCATAATGAAATACCCAATAATAAATGTATTATACCCCACGTGAATAAAGTCTTTAGTGATGGAGGCAATGAGGAAAATATATATGACAATGATGGCAAAGGTTTTATACTAGACTTGTGAGAATGATTTGGGTGACTGTGACTGCTTTGTGTATGGTCATGGTGGTGGCTATGGTGAGTATGAATATTGTCCTCATTATCGTGCACTTTTTGATAGGGATAATATAGATCATTCAGTTGTTCTTCTTTGTCCAAAGATTCAATAGTCTCTCTGGATAATTCTTCCTCTAGATCTGAAAAGACTTGAAACGACAAACTTGATGAAGTTCGTCGCATAACCGTGCTTCTTGGTAATTGAAGCATTGGTGAACTCGATGTGCTGACGTGTGGCGGTGAATACATAGAATTAGAACTTGAAGGCGATGTTGAACGGCGCACGCGTGGAGTAATGGATTCCGCCAACGACGGATCTGTTGTATTGCTATCAGTTCGAGCAAAATCTGTACATTCTACTTGTTCCATAATCGGTTGCTTAGTCTTATTAAAAAATATGAAATAGGTTAACGCGAATAGAAGAAAAAAAAAAGTGATTGGTTTCGTCCAGCTTTTAGCATATGGTCAATCTTCTGATAAACGTACAAACTTCTATAATTAGCTACATTAACGATCAAGAGAAAGATGAAAATCCCCAATTGGCAACTTATCAACTAAATTGAATATATTTTTTAATAGTTCTCATTATTTAAATTATTTTTTTTTAAGGTGAACGTACAATGATGCGTGACTTTATTGATACATAATATTTATTTTTTTTTATCACAAACAGGCATTAAATGCGAGACTGATAAATTTTTATAATTTTTCAAAAAAAATTTTTATTGCAAATAAATATTAAATATAAAATCTTATTATTATATTTATTATATTAAATACTTTATACCTTTTTTTTAAAAAAAAAATCAATACTGGCTTAATATACAATATATTATATACTAATTATTGATTTTTAAAAATATTAAATTAATTTTTTTTTTTTTAATCCCGCAATCAGGTTGGTGTCGTTTATTTATTTAATCATAAAGAACCATTACAAGTTGAGAATCCATGTAAAGTATAAATTTCCCTGATCCAACTCACCCGTCTTTAGCCAAAGCCTCTAGATGCGATTTATGGGGGTGATAATGTTGTTCCCCTAGTGGATAGAATTAAGATTTCAGATTTCCAGCAAGATCAAAACCTGCAGATCACCTCTGCAGTAAAAATATTAAATTAATAAAATATGTTAAATTAATTTATAAATAAATAATTTTTATTCATAAATAGCTAAATCAATAAAATTATTAAATAATTTTTTTTTAATTTGAAAATTTATTTGAATATATAATAATAATATTATTAATTTAAACCAATTTAATTTAATTTAATCTTTATTATAGTGAAATATTTAGTTTTAAATAAATTTAAGTTTTAATATTTCAATAAATAAAAATTTACAAATTACTTTTACAATTGTATATTGCAAATTTATTTGTATTATTTTTTTAATAAAAATTATAAAATATAATAAATAAATAAATAAATAAATAAATAATAAAACAAAAAAAAATATTATTTGAAAATTCAAATTAATTTTATAAAACAATTATAAAATTTAAATATTATAACTTGTTATTTATTTATTTGGTTTTTAATTTTAGACTTTTATTAAATGAAAGTTTAGAGTCATTATATTAAGAATCTTTTATATATATTATAAATTAATCCTAACCTGTCATAATTTTTTAATTTGATTATACCAATTTCTATCATATAAGTATATCAATATATCAAGTAGGATTATCAAGGGATGGAACTTTTACCTTTAGTTTAAATCATCTATTCTGTATAATCTATTTATATTGAGGTCTGACTTTGATAAGAACATATATTAATACTTGATATTATATCTTGTTATGTTATATCTTTGATTTACATAGCTTAAAATTATAGAAAGTATTTATAATATATATATATTTTTCTAATAAATATTTTAAATCTTCTTGATTTATACAAACTATCAAATATAAATATCATATAATCAAATTGAATATAACTTCAAATTTCTTCTAGTAAACACTTTAAAAAAATTCAGTTGACTTAAGCTGTTAAATATAGGGACAAAACTGCCAAGCAAGGTATAACTCCTTATATACTGATAGTGTGAACTGTTATGAAATGACTAAAATGTTAATGTCCATATCGATGATTGCTTCAGTATTGATCTGTTTTCTATTAACATATTGTGCTATGGAGTCTATTATACTAGTTAAAATTAATAACCATGATTCTATTCATATTGATAATCTAGTATCTGATATAGTGCAATCATTTTTTGTTAATCTTTTATAAAAGAAAAGTTAACTACAGTTTTTTAATTAAAAATAATAAGGAATTTGAACCTATTAGTTAAAATACTTAAAAATAAGTTTCTGCTAAAAAAAGTTTACTGTCTTTAATAGTATTAATCTATTTAATAAATCTTAAAATTAAATAGATCAATAGATAACAATAGCAAAAAACTATTTAATTTAGAGAAAAATAATCTCAGTTATGATATACTAGTATTGATAAGATAAAGAAATTAAGCAAGATTTATTTTTAAGATAAAAGATACAATGATTTGATTATGAATTCAAGATAGTTTTTATTAAAAAAAGTTAGAAAGAGTTGGAAAATTTCTTAGACAGTTAAGAAAAATAGCTGTTCTATTTATATACTGTATATTTGAAACATATGAAAAATAAAAGTAAACAATAGACAAATATGCCAATTCAGTCAAATATACCTAATATGTTTGATTATATTACTTAGGTTATTCAGATTGTTCTAATCAATCAGACTAATCTGACACATTAGTCATATCTAGCAGAAATGTCATATTTACCTAATACATTATATATGCTAGATAATTAATAATAAAAATAATAAAGTAATTTAATACTATAAAATAATAATCTAAAAATAGTACTGCTAATAATTATAACATTTTTTTTTTTTTTTTTTTAAGTTGGCTAAGGGTATTAGATGCGAGGCTTTTATTTACTAATTAATAGTACTGTCATTACATCAAACATCTTTACAGACTAAACTATTGCTATTCTAGAATGTAAATTAATGCTACCTATCCACAAAAAAGTTTATATTCATTGCTACTGATTTTAATTAATATTAACTTTATAAATTTTATAAGTGTTTCTGTTACAATATTCAACAAATTAAATCATATTCTAAAGTTTATAATCCATAATAAAATCTATATAAAATGGCTATTAGAAAATTCATTAGAATGTGATGAAACTTTATAATTAGAAGCTAAATAATTTTTAACATGTTATTAGAACTATTGTTAAATTTATTATCAACTTTAGATTTAGATTTATCATTTTCGACTTCAAATTCAGATTCATCATTTTCAGCATTAGTATCATTTAGTATCAAATTTTAGTAATTATTGCTTAAAGCCTTAATTTGATTTAGCAAAATATTCTTAGTTCTTTGTCAAATAATAAATTCTTGATCTGTCAATTTTTTGGTTTTTTGTTTTTGGTATTTATGCAAAAACTCTGTTGTGGATTAACAAATAATTTATTGTTTACAAATAACTATTGTTTTTTTGGGTTTTTTTTTGAACTTTCACTAAATAAAGCTAAAATCAAACACTTTCTTGCCATTTCAATTGACAAATATTAAACATAAAATGACAAAAGTCATTATTTAACTCTGAATTATCAAATGTTAACAAATCTTAATATAATATAACAAATTTTTATTAATAAGACTAAATAACAAATATAGCATAACAAATTTAAATATAACAATATCAAATAATGAATTTTTAATATAAAAATATCAAATAAAAAATTATAATAATACAAAATAATACAAATAATAATATAATAAATATCAAATTATATGATAAAACAATATATAAAATTTTATATAAATATCTTTATTAATTTAATCAAAATTAATTTTTGTCGAAATATCTAAACAATAAGAAAAACCATCTGATAAAAATATTTATAAAGAAAAGTCATAACATTTATTATCTTTACAACCTTCAGAATATTCTTTACAATTCCAACAATTATTTTTATTTGTTATATTAGAAGAGTATACAATAACCACTAGTATTGAAGATTCAATTTTTGTAATACTAATTGAATTGTTCATACAAAGGCCATCTTTTTTATTATCCACAAGCTTAGTAACTGAAGTTGCATAAGTATCAACTCCTGAATCAAAGTCTGTAACTTGAACTTGAGAAGAAATAGAAAAAGGTACAATTTAAATTATTTTTGAATTATAAAATCTATTTTTATTAATTTGTCAATTTATTTAAAAAATAAAGAGTTATATATGAAGGTAAATAAACTAAAAAAAACAAATGCCAATTTGGAGACACAATTAGTTATACTGGAACATATAAATAGCAAAAGAAATATATTAAATATCTAAAAATGAAAAGTGAATAACTAAAATCATATAAATCAGCATTAAAGCCAATAGTAGTTATAAAAATTACAAAAGTGACATCCAAACCTCAAAACCAATCCGAATCTCAAAATCAATTTGAATTTGAATATTAATCTGAACCTGAATACCAATCTGAACCTGAATATCAATTCAAATCTGTGTTTGAAACTGAAACTAAATATATAATTTACAAATTCTAAAAATGTGCCAAATATATTAAAGAGCTAAAAAATTCAATCTAAAGAAAAGAGTAAAGGTATCAAAAAGGATAAAGGTATTGATAAGAGTAAAGGTATTAAAAAGGCTAAAGATGTTGAAAAGGGTAAAGGTGTTGAAAAAGATAAAGGTATTGAAAAAGATAAAGGTGTCAAAAAAGATAAAGGTGTTAAAAGAGTAAAGATGTCAAAAAAGACAAAATAATAAAAACAATTAAACCTTCAGAAACTGTTTCTAAAAAAAAAAATAAAAGAAGACAATGGCTGAAATGAAAATTCAGATAAAAACTATTCCTAAAGAACTTTAACTAAAGGTAGACAAAATTTATTTTTTTTTTTTCACCTCTAATTAGACTGCAATTGCTGTATTTATTAATCTTTAAATATAAATAAAACAATAATACATGAAACCCTAAGGTTTTATATTAAAGCTAAACTATGCCTATTGCAGAACACTCATCAACAAGTTATTTTTAGATTTGTATGTGATCCTTGAATCCTTAATACCAAGACCACTGTGTTACCCACATGATTTAGCTATTTACTAACTATTTCACTACAAGAGAGTTGATTCATTAAGCTATTACTGTGTGATATTAAATATCTTAAACTTTCCAAATCTTAACTCTCTAAGTGTGATCATGGGGAATGATAAAATCACTCTTTTTCTAAGACCGCTTCTTGGCCTTAAGAAAAATCATTGCCAGTTTATATTTAGACTGTCACTCCAATACGAACCTGTGGTCCTAAGAGATAAAAAAAATTTTTATTTTTAAGAAAAAAAGAAAGTAA